CTTTGCCATTACACTATTAGATAACCTTAACTATACGTTACGTTAGTTGCATCGCGCCATAAATGTCTACAAGCGCCTCCACTACCCTATAGGGTATTCATGTGCGAATGATAGGTTTGTTCTCGGACTCTATACCTTCTCCGGTGTCCTGAATTTTGCCACCACACTTTTAGATAATCTTAACTGTGCGTTAGGTTTCTTGCATCGTGTCATCAATGTCTGCAAGGCCCTCCAATACTCTATAGGACCATCATGTGCGAATGATTTGTTTGGTTTCGGACTCTTTACCTTCTCTGATGTCCTGAAATTTATCGCTACACCTTTTGATAATATTAACTGTACTTTAAGTTTCTTGCACCGTGCCGTAAATGTCTCCAAACACCTCCAATACGCTATAAGACCATCATGGGCGAATAGTATGTTTGTTCTTGTACTCTTTACCTTCTCCGATGTCCTGAACTTTGCCAGTACACTTTTAGATAATCTCAACAATACCTTCAGTTTCTTCCATCGTGTCATCAATGTTTCGAAGCACACTCAATACTCTATATGACCATCATGTGCTGTTTGCTCTCGGACTCTTTACCTTTTCCGGTGTCCCACTATTCTACAGGATTTTCATGTGCGAATGATATATTGTTCTCGGACTCTTTACCTTCTCTGGTGCACTGAACTTTGCCGCTACACTTTTAGATAATCTTCACTGTACGTTAAGTTTCTTTCACCCTGCAATAAATGTCTCCAAATATATACAATACTCTATAGGACCATCATGGGTGAATAATGTTTGTTATTGGACTCTTTACCTTCTCCGGTGTCCTGAACTTTGCCAGTATACTTTTAGATAATCTTTATTTCATGTTGAGTTTCTTTCACCCTGCAATAAATGTCTCCATACATTTCCAATACTCAAAAGAATCATCATGGGCGAATAATATGTTTGTGTTGGACTCTTTACTTTCTCTGGTGCCCTGAACTTTGCCACTTAACCTTTAGGTATACTAACTGTACGTTGAGTTTGTTGCATCGTGCCATAGATATATCCAAGCACCTCCACCACTCTTCAGGATTTGCATGTGCGAATGATATGTTTGTTCTCGGACTCTTATCTTCTCCGGTGTCCTGCACTTTGCCATTACATTTTTAGATAGTCTTAAGTGTATGGTGCGATTCTTGGGTTGTGCAATAAATGTCTCCCACGCATCTGCAATACTCTATAGGTTCATCATGTGCGAATGTATGTCTGTTCTCGGCCGGACTCTTATCTTCTCCGGTGTCCTGCACTTTGCCATTACATTTTTAGATAGTCTTAAGTGTATGGTACGATTCTTGGGTTGTGCAATAAATGTCTCCCACGCATCTGCAATACTCTATAGGTTCATCATGTGCGAATGTATGTCTGTTCTCGGCCGGACTCTTTGCCCCATACGTCGATAGGGCCACAGGATGGGTCGGAGAGTTAGTGTCTGAGGGGAATGGATTCACATGCTAACAACGAAGGCATACGAACGTAGCAGCTGACGTTGGAGCTGGACCAGTGTTGTGGTTTGTGACTCCGTGTGGATTATAAACAGTTGTAGTTCCGAATAGATACGAGCGTAGCACTTGATGCTGAAACTGGGCCAAAGTGGTGGCTAGTGAGTCTATGTGGAATATGAACAGTTGTTGTTTTGAATAAACTCGAGCGTAGCACTTGAGGCTAGAACTGGACGATGGTTGTGGTTAGTGAGTCCATGTAGGTTATAAGATGGTGGTTAGTGAGTCCATGTAGGTTATAAGTTGGTGGTAAGTGAGTCCATGCAGGATATAAGATGGTGGTTAGTGAGTCCATGTAGGTTATAAACAGTTCTTGTTTTGAATAGATACAAGCGTAGCACTTGAATCTAGAATTGGGCTAGGATGGTGGTAAGTGAGGATGGTGGTAAGTGAGTCCATGTAGGTTATGAGATGGTGGTAAGCGAGTCCATGTAGGTTGTAAGATGTTGGTTAGTGAGTCCATGTAGGTTATAAGATGGTGGTTAGTAAGTCCTTATAGGTTATAAGATGGTGGTTAGTAAGTCCTTATAGGTTATAAGATGGTGGTTAGCGAGTCCATGTAGGTTATAAACAGTTCTTGTTTTGAATAGATACGAGCGTAGCACTTGAATCTAGAATTGGGCTAGGATGATGGTAGGTGAGTCCATGTAGGTTATAAGATTGTGGTAATATAGGTTATAAGATGGTGGCTCGTGAGTCCATGTAGGTTATAAACAATTGTTGTTTTGAACAGATACGAGCGTAGCACTTCAGGCTAGAACTTGACTGGGACAGTGGCTAGTGCGTCCATAGTCCATATATATTATGAACAGCTTTTGTTTTGAATCGATACTAGCGCAGTACTTGAGGATGAAGTGTACTAGGATGGTGGCTAGTGAGTTCATGTGGATTGTTTACAGTTGCTGTTTTGAATAGATACAACCGTAGCACTATAGGCTAGAACTTGACTAGAGTGGTGGCTTAATTGAATTCATGTGGATTATGAACAGTTGCTGTCTTGAATACATACGACCGTAGCACTTGAGGCTAGAACTTGACCGGGGTGGTGGGTAGCGAGTCCATGTGAATTAGGTGCGCCCTACGAACAGTTGCTGTCTAGAGTAGATACGAATTTAGCAGTTCAGGCTGGAATAACCCCTTTCCAAAGTATGAGTGCAAATAAATTCCCCCTCGCTCCCCGCTCTTTGCTACCTCGTATCGTCCCCAATACCCAGAAAATCAAGTCCCCCTTTCACTGCAATCTGAAACCACGATCAACAAGGTGGCGGAGCACTTGCGGGTAATCTTGCATACTGCCGATGCAGAAACCTCAATACAGTTCGATACCCAAGAACATCCCTAGGTAGGAAGTATGCATTGTTTAAGGGTTTAGAGTTTAGGTGGCAAGTATGAAATGTACATTACGACCCTGTGTCTTTTCACCCACTGTCGGCTGAATGCCCCCAGCTTCAGCAAGTCGTTCCTTGCGCGTCCGCAAATCCCTGAGTCATCCATGAAGGTTCGATCGGTGGTATTCAACTATTGTAGCACCTGTTAATACTAAAGGTACCTGATTGTGAGTTTTAAATGAATGGTGCACCATCGCTACCACCTCCCTTGTTTCATATATACTATATGCTGAGAGAGCTGGCAGTAGCATATGTGAGCGTCGACAAGCATTCAGGTATTGGGACACTGTGCGCACAACCATTCGCTGCACTAGACACTGGTTGCCTTTAATACAAACCCATCTGCAGAGTTTTGTCGTATGTCTGAATAGTAGTTTTCTACACACTTGCTCCAATGGCCTATATTTACTAGATAAACCTTGGGTATGCATATATGATCAGTCAATCGCGGTAAGAAAGAACGCGTGGATCAAAGACGCATATTTACACTATAGGGATATCTTATCAAGTCGTCTGCTTATATGTCTCTGATCAGATTTGTATACTTTTAGTTCACTATGCCATACAATCAACACGCTACTTCAAATGCCCTCTCGCCCAAGTCATAGGCCTGCATTCGATCGAGCAATTGCTTCTGTTCCGCATCAGCTTAAGCTTGTTGTTCCCTGTTCACATATGTGTTCATGATTGGCTGTAGTATCTCACTGGAACATCTTGATCGATCTCTCCATCCACCTGATATCCTTCTGCGATCAGATGTATCAAAACACCCCCACACGGCTGCACGCCATTTGTACCACCGCTCGTACCATCATATATCTGCGAAGCGTTAGTTCGTGCAAAAGCTGTATCTGCCCACAGTGGCAAGCAAAAAAAACAACTGACATTCTCTATTTACCATTTCTCTATAAATTTCAGTCTAAATTCTCAATGTTCACGTTTTGAAATAGCAGTATATTTATTTGCATTCTGAAATCACAATCCGCTATCCATGCCCCCAAGTCTGATGAACCAATAGAGAGTGCGTTCTTACGCTCGATGTTATTAGTCATCAAGAATGCCGTTTCAGTAAGTCTAGGCTATGCCAGTGTGAACCTTCGCCATGGCCCTTTGAAATAAACATAGAATGTCTAAGCATTTTGCCTTTGCGGCATACACCTGGACCTAGCTAGAGGCTTTGCGCCAATCAAATACTAGCACACTGCAGTCACCACTGATTACAAAGACATTGCAGAAATGTCGACGCAGATCCATCGCCAAAAAAACACTCACCAGCCCAAATTCCTACGAGTCGTAGCACCCGCTCGCCCAAATATTGCCAAAAAAAAGTATTCTCGACCCAAATCTTCAATACTAGCTGACAAATCCCAGGAAAATTATTCGCAGATTTGGAAAATGACGACACCAAATGACCCTTCTTAAAGGCAATTTTCCCTAATGGTAAGCCACCATCTATTCCTTTTTCTTACCTTATTTGGCGCGAATCGCATCTGACTTCGTGATAAGACTTTTTAAATTTGACCCATAACTGTTAAGTCTGAAAATTTAGATTTGTAAGTGTGATTTGTAAGTGTACAAGCTTAAAATTAGAGACTAAACTGGCGTGAATTCCATATCGCGGTCCAGTGATCGACCGCAATACTATGGCAGCCACCCATGGAATCACTAGCTCAGATACTGCCTACGATATGATTAGTACACTTATCCGAACAATGTGTCATACAGACAGTGGTGTACGCCCACTATCATAGTTTGCAAGTACATTTTATGCCAGTGCCTATGGTACGATGGCTATGAGTTCAGCAAGTACCTTATATACCACCACAGAAAATGAATAATATGTATATATAGTCAAACAATGCCACATAAATTCCTAAACCGTAAACCCTAAAACCGAATAATACGGCACGCTAATTATTATAGTCTGCAAGTACATGCCATACCAGTGCCTTGGTACGACTACTATATGTGTCCAGCATATACACCCATACCAAAAAAAAAACAAGATAAATTCTATATATAGCCAAACAACCGATACCCTAAAACCCTAAATTTTATATATAGTCAACCAGCGCCTCAACCGGACAATGCTGAACTGTCACTATCGCAGTCACTTGAAGCATCCCCGAGAGCCTTCGATTTGGCTCTAGCGGCATGGGTTACAATGTTAGTCACGCGCAGAGGGGTCGCTCTGAGTGTTTGTGCGTTGGCTTCCGTGATATGTACCTGTACAACGACAAGGGTGCGGAAATTGGCGAGTATGAGATTAAGGTTGGGATTTAGGGTGTTAAAACCCTGAGCCCTATGATGAGGACCAAGGTTAAAAGGTTTTAGGACTGAGTTTAAGGGTTCCTTTGTACAGCATCCGGACCAAGGTGCAGAATAAACCAGCAGGAGTATGTGTATATATACGTATAAATGTAGCAAAACGTATCCGGCTGTAGTAGAAACGCCTGTTCTTACCGCTACGTAATCACCCACTTCGATCTGCGTATTGCTCACTCCGGTCGTGTCAGAGGGCACTTTGACATCGGACATAATAACACGTGTGAATCCGTCGGTGCGGCCTAGGAATTGCCCTGGTTTTCTCCCTATCTGCAAAAATGGGTAAGGGAGGCAATATGGTCTTAGAAGGGAGATGCTTAGATGTACACGAACAAACATAAAAAAGAAAATAAAACATGTATGAATACCCAACCACCCACCCATATATATATATATATACCCGAATACCACAGCTTCCTATTCATCTCTGAACCTACCACACATACCGTGTGAATGACATCATTGAGAACCCAACGAAACACCAACCTCATTACTCCCACGGTACGAGCATACCATTGTAATCTATTTCAATACACTGAGTCCTTAATGCTACTTTCACTGGTAGACGTACAGAGGTAAACAGTACCAACCCCACAAACACCCATACATAGCAACACTACTCACACTCGCCAATACAACACAAGCGCACATATGCCTTACCGAGTCCACCAGTACCAGCTGGGTGGTGCCCACCAGTTGCTCGTTGCGTGCGAGCGAGCCACTTCGGAACACATCGATGATCTCCCTCAACCTCCTTTGTTTGACGTCCTCAGCTACATCGTCTTTGAAACGTCGGTGAGCGTGTGTTTTCTGGGTTGTGGGAAAGCAAAAATAATAATAACGGGATTGGGACGGTGAGTGAGTGCTTTCAGAGTAGGGAAAGCCAAATAAAATGGGATTAGGAAATTAGGACGAGTTGTTATGGAGGCGTCGGCGAGCATGTGTTTTCTAGGTTGTAAATTGTTTGGATTAGTTTGCATGTGCATTTGTGCATACGAGAGCTATGCATTTGCGGAGGCTGTATCGATTTCTGGATCTTGTGATATTAGTACATACCAAGAAAGTACACAGACACTTCCTATCCTGCATCCTCACACGAACACACACGCATACACGCACACGCACGTACGCATACACATATATACATACATATGCATATGCATATAGTTAAGAATATATATATATATATACAAATATACATTCATATACCATATGTACTCACAACCAAACACGAATCCACCACCCATCCACAAAACGAGACCCCACACACCAACACACACAACTCCTTACACACCTCACGCATACTGTATGCGAACAAGAACGCCTGCTCGTACTTGACCTGCGCCATGAGCGTCAGTGTGTCTGTGTGCTCATCCTCTGTTTCCCCGCAGAACCCTGTGATGAAGTCTGATGATATGTGCACTCCAGGTAACATCTGTCGTAAATGCGCGGCTAAGGTCAGATAGGCCTCGCGCGAGTAACCCCGGCGCATCCGTTGCAGGACCTCTGAGTTGCCACTCTGAGGAGATGGGCGATGGATTGTATGGGTATACGGGTTAGTGGTATGTATGTGTGTGACTTTGTGTGTATGTGTGTGTATGTGTGCGTGTGTGAGTGAGAGTGTATGTCCGAGAGTGTATGTGCGAGAGTGTGTGTTTGTGATGGTGTGTGTGTTTGTGTTCGTGTGGGTGGGGTGGGCTGTATTGTTATGTGGCACCGAGCATCCGCTGTAGGACCTCTGAAGTCTTTTCTCTACAAATGCACCCTTTGAGACTACCTATCTTTAGGGTTTAGGGCTCATCACACTACACCCATCACTACCATTAAAACCAAAAGAGACTGCAAGAACAATAATCCCTTTAGCTGTACATCGAATAGCTTTGAAACAAGCAACACCACCCCATACACACTACACCAACACACACCTGGGCCGGCAAATGAATGTGGTTGCATATGTTGTCTCGAGTGGAGATGAGCTCAATCAATTCCTCGGGAAAGTCCTTGGGGTGTGGGCTCGTGAACCGGATGCGCATGTCGGGATCAACCAATGAGACGGCGTCCAGTAGATCGGCAAACCGCGCGCCCCCCTTTTTGGTCTTGTATATTGTCTTGAAGTCTTCGGACGAATTTTTGGTGGGTGCTTTGTCCTCGAAGAAGTTCTGGTGTGGGTGTATGGGTTGGGTGTGTTAGGATGTGTTTCAAGCGGAGGGCAAATTCATTATATATATATATATTATATAAAAATATATAAAGATATTTATATAGATATAAACATATAAATATAGATATAGATAAATGGATATATATATATATATATAAATATATAAAGATATTTATATCTATATAAACATATAAATATAGATATAGATAAATGGATATATATATATGTATAGATATATAGATATGTATATACGTATATATATATATATATTTATAGATAGATATAGATATAGATGTATATATATATCCGTATATAGAAAGTCGTGTTTTCTCTTTATAAGGAGACAATAGGTCTGATGTTCGGGTCGTTCCCGCGGGAGTTTCATCACTGACGTTCTCCGACAATCAGGCTCAGCTCATCTACTTCAAACACATCGGTGTCAAGTGCAGCGCAGCCATCACTATTGCCAGAGGACGACAGTGGCGAAACTCCCACGAGAATGAC